GAGTGTGTTATCACTCTTTGCTAATTTGGTATCTGAAACGATACTCCTTGCTTTCACTTCCATTTCTAAAATTGTTAGTGAGGTTGAATAACGCATGTGTTTAGAGACTATTTCACTCTTTCAGTTGTTGGACTGTATTTGTTATTTTTCTATTGAGAATTTGTTTTTCTCATTCAGTCATTTTTAAAATTATTATTTTTAACATTTCTTTTCAATTTTTATTATTTATTATTATTATTACTATTTTTTTCAGATAGAGTCTTGCTCTCTTGCCCAGGCTGGAGTGCAATGGTGCAATCTTGGATCACCTCAACCTCCATCTCCCAGGTTCAAGCAATTCTTGTGCCTCAGCCTCCTGAGTAGCTGGTACTACAGGCATGTGCCACCATGCCTGGCTCTTTTTTATATTTTTAGTAGGGACCTCGGGGTTTCACCATGTTGGTCAGGCTTTTCTCGAACTCCTGGCCTCAAGTGATCTGCCTGCTTTGGCCTCCCAGAGTCCTGGGATTATAGGCTTGAGCTACCACACCTGGCCAGTAGTTTTCATTTTCGTATCATTGTTCGATTTCCCGGATTACTTGGTAAAGTTGAGCACTTTATCATATTCTGTAGGTTGATTAATTTTGTCTGAATTTCTTTTTGAAAAATGAATTAGTTGTTCATATCCTTTGTCCCTTTTTAAAAAAATTGGGTTTGTGTCTTGAGATACTTCATGTTCATAAGTAGAGTTTTATATTATATTACTTATTAAAGTTATTCCTAGTAACTTTATTGTTGTTGATATCTCTTTCCAATACAGTAGAATAGATTATTTCTACTGTTTCTTCAATATACTGCATAGGAAAGTTATTGATGTTTATATGTTACTGTGTTGATCTGACAATCTTAAAGAACTCTTAACATTTCAGTTGATAAACTTGTATTTTCTGAGTAGACATTGGTGATACTTTCTACTAATTATGACACTTTAGCCTGTTCCTTTATGGTATTAAAGTGTCTTATTTCTTATCGCTTAGCGTAATGACACAGCATCTAGTATTAAGTGACTTTGTTTTAAAGTTTGACTCCCTGAGAAATTTTATTATTTTGTTCAGTGGGAGACAGAACTGCAACTTGCTTTTTTTTTTTGAGATGAAGTTTTGCTCTTGTTGCCCAGGTTGGAGCACAATGGCAAGATCTCTCCTCACTGCAACCTCCACCTCCCGGGTTCAAGCAGTTCTCCTGCCTCAACCTCCCGAGTAGCTGGGATTACAGATACGCACCACCATGCCCGGCTAATTTTTTGTATTTTTAGTAGAGACAGGGTTTCACCATGGCCAGGCTGGTCTTGCGCTTCTGATCTCAGGTGATCCGCCTGCCTTGGCCTTCCAGAGTGCTAGGATTACAAACATGAGCCACCGTGCCTGGCCTGTAACTTGCTTTTCAGAATTGTTAGGCTGTTATCTCAATATTTGTTACTGAATCCATATTTTTGTCCTGAGTTGTAGAACCATCTACTCATTCGACAAAACATATATTGAGTGCTTATGTTTCACCTGGTGCTGTTAGGTGTTGGGGGTGCAGCAGTGAATAGAACAAATTTCTAGTCTTCATGGAGTATACAGTTAAAGAGACAGTAATAAAATAACAAATATATATTTTTGATCCATAGTCATTTGGATTTACAGATGTGGAACCCATGGACACAGAAGTGTTACTGCATTTATGTCTGATTTTTTTTTTGCATTTGTTGAGATGATCATTTTTCCTTGATTTGTAAATATGACAACCATATTAACAGATTTTCCCTTTAGATTTCTTTGAGAATTTTCTAGCTTTCTTTCTGTGTCATTGACTTCTAGTTTTATACCATTGTTGTTAGAAAGATACTTGAAATGATTTCATTCTTCCTGAATTTGTTAAACTTGTTTTGTGGCCTAACATATGATCTGTCCTGGAGAATATTCTGTGTCTGCTTAAGAAGAATGTGTATTCAGCTGCTGTTGGCTAGAATGTTCTGTATGTGTGTGTTAGGTCCATTTAGTCTATAATGTTCAAGTCTGTGTTTCCTTATTAATTTTTGTCTGGATTATTTATCCGTTGTTGAAAGTGGAGTATTTTTTAAGTTCTTCACTATTACTGTATTGCTATTTCCCTCTTCAGTTCTGTTGATAGTGCTTTATATATTTAGGTGCTCCAAATTGAGGCATGTGTGTGTATCTATAAATGTTACATTCTCTTGATGGATTGACCTCTGATCTCTTGTAACACTTTTTGACTCAAAGTCTATTTTATCTTATATAAGGATCCTCTGCTCTCTTTGGTTAACGTTTGTGTGGAATATCTTTTTCCATCTCTTCACTTTCAGCCTCAGTCCTTTAAAGCTAAAGAGAGTCTCTTGTAGGAAGCATATAGTTGGATCCTATTTTTAAAAAATCCACTTGGCAGGGTGCAGTGGCTCACACTTGTATTGTAATCCCAGCACTTTGGGAGGCCGAGGCGGGTAGATTACCTAAGGTCAGGAGTTTGAGACCAGCCTGACCAACATGGTGAAACCCCATCTCTACTAAAAATACAAAAATTAGCAGGGGGTGGTGGTGGGTACCTGTAATCCCAGCTACTCAGGAGGCTGAGGCAGGAGAATCGCTTGAACCCAGGAAGCAGAGGTTGCAGTGAGCCGAGATCGCGCCATCGCACTCCAGTCTGGGTGACAGAGTGAGACTCCGTCTCAAAAAAAAATCCATTCAATCTGAGTCTTGCTGGAGAACTTAATTCTTTTCATTTAAAATAATTACTGATAGGTAAGGAGTTACTACTGCCATTTTGTCAATTTTTCTGACTCTTGTAGTTTCTTTGTTCCAGTCGTCCTCTCTTGCTGTCTTCCTTTGTGATTTGATGATTTTTTGGTAGTGATATGCTTTTGATTTTCTGTGTTTTATGTATCTTGTAGGCAGCATATTGTTGGATCTTGTTTTTAAAAATCCACTCAGCTGGGCACAGTGGCTCACACCTGTAATACCAGCACTTAGGGATGCCAAGGTGGGTGGATCACCTGAGGTCAGGAGTTCGAGACCAGTGTGGCCAATATGGTGAAACTCCATCTCTACTAAAACTACAAAAATTAGCCAGGCGTGGTGGCATGTGCCTATAATCCCAGCTACTCAGGTGGCTGAGGCAGGAGAATTGCTTGAACCTGGGAGGCCGAGATTGCAGTGACTGAGATCATGCCACTGCACTCCAGCCTAGGCGACAGAGCGAGACTCCATCTCCAAAAAAAAAAAGAAATGAAAAAATAAAATAAAAATTCACTCAGCCAATCTGTGTCTTCTGGAGTCTTTAATTTATTTCTATTTAAAATAATTATTGATAGTTAAGTAATTACTACTGCCATTTTGTCAGTTTTTCTGACTCTTGTAGTTTCTTTGTTTCAGTCGTCCTCTCTTGTTGTCTTCCTTTGTGATTTGATGATTTTTTTGATAGTGATATGCTTTGGTTCTTTCCTGTTTTATGTATCTACTACAGGCCTTTTCTTTGTGGTTACCATGGAGCATACATAAAACATCTTACAGTGTTAATAGTCTATTTTAAGCTGACAACCTCAACAGTATACCACAACTTTACATGTAATGTCTCGTTTCACATTTTATATTATTGATTTCATAATGTATATCTTTTATATATCACATATCCATTACCAAATTATTGTGTGTATAGTTAATATTTAATACTTTTGTCTCTTTACTTTTATACTAGACTTAAATGTGATTTAGGGACCACCGTTATAGTATTGGAGTATTCTGAATTTGAATATATTGTTATCTTTATAGTGAGTTCTATTCTTTAATATGTTTTTATGTTCTTAGAGTTCTTTTGTTTCCATTTGAAGAACTTCCTTTAGCATTTCTTGTAAGGCAGGTCTGATGGTGGTGACCTCCCACATTTTTTTCCATTAAGGGGTCCCATAGTAAATATTTTAGGCTTTGCTGGCAATATGCTGTCTGTTGTAACTGCTCATCTCTGCTATTGTAGCATGAAAGCAGATGTAGACAGTATGTAAACAAATATACATGGCTTTGTTCCAACAAAAGTGTTACAAAGACCAAGTACAGAACTGGATTTGGCCTCTGGACTGCAGTTTGCTGACCAGTGATTTAGACTTCTGACATGGTAGATTACATTGATTGATTTTTTGAATATTGAACAAGTGTAGCATTCCTGGGATAAACCCCACATGGTGTGGTCTGTTACTCTTTTTATGTTCGTAAGTTTGATTTGCTAATATATTCTTGATGATTTTTATGTTTATGTTCGCTTTGGAAATTGGTCTTTAGTTTTGCTTCTTTGTGCTGTCTTCGCCTGATTTTGATTTTAGGGTAATGCTGACCTAATTAAATGAGTGGAGAAATGTTGTTCCCTCCTCTGTTTCCTAGAAGGGATTCTGTAGAGTTGGTGTTACCTCATCTTAAAATGTTGGTTATAAATTAGTCAGTGAAATCATCTGGGCCTGGAGATTGTTATTTCAGAAGATTTCGTACTATAAATTCAATTTCTTTAATAGTTACAGAACTGTTCAGGTTACATATTTCATCTTGGGTGAGTTTTGGTAGTTTGTCATTTCCTATGAATTGGTTCATTTCATTTAAAGATATAAAACTTACGTACGTGGAGTTGTTCATACTACTCTTTTATTGTCTTTTTTTTTTTTTTTTTTTTTTTTTGACACAGTCTTGCTCTGTTGCCCAGGCTGTAGTGCAGGGGTGCGATCTCGGCTCACTGCAAGCCCTGCCTCCGGGGTTCATGCCATTCTCCTGCCTCAGCCTCCCGAGTAGCTGGGACTATAGGTGCCCGCCACCACACCCGGCTAATTTTTTTGTATTTTTAGTAGACACAGGATTTTGCCATGTTGGCCAGGCTGGTCTTGAACTCCTGACCTCAAGTGATCTGCCTGCCTTGGCCTCCCAAAGTGTTGGGATTACAGGTGTGAGCCACTGTCCTGGCCCTTAATTATTATTTTTTAACCTTCCAGAGTCCTTTTATTTTGGAATATCCTGTAAACAGTCAAACCACTAGAACATTATGGTACAACAGTAAAATGTTCTCCTGCATTAAACTGAAGATATCCGTTTAATAAAAAAAAAGAAAAAGAAAATGTAGGAAAGGTACTTAGAGCTGTTACTTTCTAAGTACACAACACCCTAGACAATTCAAGGCATCTTAATCTCCATCAAGAACAACAAAAAAATAATTTTTGTCATTCTGTTAAATCCATCATTATGGATAAAACTGGTGCATATCGGTCAAACGGATCCAACAAACACTGATGTCCAAGCTGGCACATTGGCAACTAATACGTAACTGGGGGTCAATAGTTTAAAAGATCTTCCCTTTCTTATTCTTTTCCAAGGTTCTCAAAGAGTTCTGTTGTTCTGAAAGACGTTGTTGAGCTTCCCAGTTTGCTTTCTCATCCTCAAACTGACGACGTTTTTCCTCTAATTCTTTGTGCTGTGCTTCCAAATTCTTTTTCATTTGCTCATGGCGCCGCTGGAGCTCAGCTTCAGAGTCCTTTCGTTTTTAAACTTTTTATTTGACCTTCATCTCAAACACCTGCTCCATCTCCATCTCTATCTTCTTCATTTTAGACCTTCTTTCTTCCATTTGTGCCAGAGGGCTCTTAGTCAGCTGCCCTTTATTCTTGTTGTTATTAACTCCATTGTAAGTCACAGCTGCCAGTTTTCTGCTTCTGCACCTCTCGTAGTGGACATTATTAGTAACATCTTTCAAGTTCTGCGTGTGTGTTCTTATCAACATATTTCTTAGAATTGTAAAATCACAATGTTCACCATTTTCAACTTCAGCAACACCCCAAGGATACTACCTTCCTCTGACCCTTTTGCCATTAACTTCAATGATAGTATTACTACCTACCACAGCAAGAGGCAAACGGTCCTTTACCTTTTTAACAAGTTTATTTTCTTCTTCATCATCTGTTTCTGGAAATTCATATATTTTAATTTTATGTTCTTGGATTTCTTTCATTATCTGTTTTTTAAACTGTTGGCATTCTTCTGGTGTGAGTGTGTCTGCTTTGGCAATAAGTGGGATGATAATCACTTTTTCATGCATACGCTTCATAAGCTCAATATCCAATAGTTTAAGTCCATATCCTGAAGGAGCAATTAAGTATTGACAACACTGCACCCTGCTATCAGGCATCTGACGTCTGTTCATTCACGATTCTGCATTTACTATCAATGTAATCGATAACAAGCTGCCATCAATTACTATTATCCAGTGCATCTCCAAATCCTGGGGTATCAACTATTGTGAGCAGCACCTGAACGCCACGTTCTTTGATTAAAGCTTTGGATTGTCCACCTGTACATTCTTTTTAATTATATAAGAAGGACCTGGATACTCTGGAGAATACAAATCTGTGAGGAGTAAAGAGTTGATTAATGTCAACTTTCCTAATCCAGGTTCGCCTCTCTGGGTAAGGTGGCTCACATCTGTAATCCCAGCACTTTGGGAGGCCGAGACGGGTAGATGGTTTGAGCTCAGGAGTTCCAGACCAGCCTGCGAAATAAGGCGAGACCCTGTCTCACTTTGTATGTTGTGCCAGCTGGGGGTGCCCCAGGTAGGTGCTCCCTTGAGTGTCTGCTTCAGGGCTGTTGCGAAGATGCAGGGCAGGGCTCCTCCAGCTGGGAAACATGGAATAGTTGGCAGCTGCTCTGTACATAGAATCCTCCTTCTCTGATGACCGTGCTGTCAACATCAAAACACATTGCATCTGCTGAGTAGAAAAGCTTCCTCAGCTCTGAGTGGGAGACCATCCTTGGAAGAATTTTCCTCGTTTCTCCAATGCTAGATTTCTAGGAGACCACACTGTTCTCTTCCTGTTCCTTCCCTAGATAAAAATGCAGCACAAAGTTCTGACTACAGATTTCTTCAAGAAAGACCTGTGGATTGCCCTAGAGAGCCCAGGCTCAGGTGAGGCGAGTGCGCGACCGTGGCTGCAGCTGGCGCTGGCCTTTGAGGAGCTTCTGCGCGACCTTGAGATCTTACCTGCCAGGCGCCAGACGGTTGGCACGCACCGCGTCTGGCCCTTGGTGCGCCCGGCCCTGCAGGCCAGGAAGTCGTAAAGCTCCTCCTGGTAGCTTATGGGCGGCGGTGGAGGGCCGCAGCTCAGAGGCCGGTTACATCCCGCCCAGCCGTCTGTGGCCACCCAACCCCTTAACTGTTTTTAAGTGTACATTTTAGTGATGTTAGATACATTTATAATGTATGTGACCATCACCACTGTCCATTTTCATAGCTTTTTTTTAATCTTGTAAAACTTACACTTTATAGCCATTAAACAGTAACTCCCAGTTTTTCCCTTCTCTCAGCCTCTGGCAACCACCATTCTGCTTTCTGTCTCAGATTTTAACTACTCTTAGTATCTTATGTAAGTGGAATCCACTATTTTTTTTGTGTGTGTGTGACTGGTGTAAGTCATTTAGGAGTTTGTCAAGGTTCATTTATGTTGTTGTATCGCATATGTCAGAAATTCCTTTCTTTTTAAGGCTGCATAGTATTCCACCATAGACATACCACCATTGTGGTATGTCGGTATCATATTTACTTAACTGTTAATTATGTTTTATTTGTTGTGAATCATGCTGCTGTGAACATGGGTGTATAAATATCTCTTTGAGACTCTGCTTCTGATTCTTTTTGGTATATACCCAGAAGTGGAATTTGTGAATCATATGGTAATTATGTTTTTAACTTTTTGAGAAACTGCCATACTGTTTTCCAGGGTCCATGTCATTTTATGTTCCTTACGCCTGTGCACTAGTGTTTCAGTTTCTCCACATCCTTGCCAACATTTGTTATTCCGTTTTTTATTTTCGATAGTAGCCATTCTAATGGGTGTGAGGTGGTATATCTTAGTTTTGATTTTTCAGTTTTCTAATAGTCGTCGTGAGCATCTTTTCATGTGCTTTTGGTCGTTTGTATAACTTCTTTGGAAAATGTCTATGAAAGTTCTTTGCTCATTTTTAAGTTGGTTTGTTTTTGTCAAGTGTTCCTTCCACCTCATCCTCCTGAGTACCCAGGAGTACAGGCACATGCCACCATGCCCAGCTAATAGAATCTATTTTAGACCTAATTATATGCTGTCTACATGAAAGACAATTGACATAAAATGACACATTTAAAGAGAAAGATAAAACATGCAAACACTAGTAGAGGCAGGGTTTCACCATCTTGGCCAGGCTGGTCTCGAACTCTTGACCTCAGGTGATCTGCCTGCCTCGGCTTCCCAAAGTGCTGGGATTACAGGCGCATGAGCCACTGCATCCAGCCTCCTGTTGTTTTTGAAGGATCCTTTTTATTGCTGCATGTTTTGTTCAGTGTTTGTAGGGGTTTTTCCTTTAATTTTCCCGTTAATACTTTAAATATGTTTTTTACTGCCTTCTAGCTTACGTAGTTTCAGGCAAGAAACCTGCAGTCATTCTTACTTTAGTCCCTCTTTAAGCAATGCGTATTTTCTTTGGAAGTGGCTGCTTTTAATATTTTCTGTTTATTAATCTTTTTCAGCAATTTGACTATAAAGTACCTTACTGGTACGTGTGTGTGCGCACGCGTGTGCCTGTGTGTGTGTGTGTGTCTGTCTGTCTCGGATTTTGTTGTGCTTGGATCTGTGGGTTTATAATCATACAGCTTTTAAAATTTACAGCTAATTATTTCACTAAACAGTTTTTTTGTCCCCATCCCTTTAACCCCAACCTCACACATATTAGGTAGGATACTGTTATTCCACAGGGCACTGTAGCTGTGTTGTCATTTTTCATACTGTTCTTAATTTTGAATAGATTTTTTTTGTGTGTTATGTCTTTAGGGATAGTGATCTTCTTTTGTCATTTCTAATCACATGTTAACTTTTCAATGTGAAATTTCCATTTGATGTTATCTTTTTGATATTACCTTTGAGTTCCATGTTATTTTTAATATCTTCTATTTCTCTCCTCATATTCATGTTTTCTATACATTCTTGTGCATATGAGGCATGCTTATAATAGCTGGATTATTGGATTATGCCCAGTAGTTAAGTTGTGAATCATTATTGTTCAGTTGAGACTTACTTATTTTTTCATACAGAGTCACTCTCAGGATAAGTTGAGACTTATTTGTCAGCTCTTTTAGGGATGGTCTAGAATAGCATTTGTTCTATGGCTCTTTTAGCCCTGCTCCTAAAGGTGTGTCTCACTCTGGTCTCTGCTGAATGTGTTACATAGTCATTGAGGTCTCGCCACTCTGGCTAGAGACAACACAGTTGGCTAGTGACAATACAGTTGATTTGCAGCTTTCTGTGAGCTCTGGAAATTGTTCTTCTGTGATTGTTCTCTCCCTGGAAGTTGTTCTTGTTCAGTCTTCTGGGATTTCACATCACTTGTGTGCAGACTGGTATTCATTTGAAACTCAAGGCTATCCCTGTGCAGATTTCTGGAGCTCTTTCTCTGAATACCTCTCTTCTCTTGGGTACTCTGCCCCACAAATTCTAGTCTTCTTGAGCCCCCTGAACCTATGATTTTTGTCTTCTCATTTCAGTTCTCATTTTGGGTTCATCTCTCTGTGTGGTAGTTTCTAAATTAACTCCAGGCAGAAAGCCTGTGCCGTGGTAGGGGTCACTGTGTTTCTTTCCCTTTGTTCCCTTTGCCCTACCTGTTGTCCAGTGTCTGATAATGGTTGTTTTTTATATTTGTCTGGTTTCCTAGTTGTTTGGGCTAGAGGGTAATTTTGACTTGTCTTACTCCCATGTGGCTTTATTAGAAGTCTCCTATATTACTTTAGGTACTCAAGTTGGTTTCAGATTCTGAGATTACTATGGAACATTAAGTTTTGGTAGAAATTTTTCTCAAATAAAGTTAGTTGTACTCTTTTACTTCACCTTTCTTAGTAATGAAGTGAAGAACACTGAAATGAAAGGGTTAAGAGACAGGAAAAAGAGGGGAAGGAAGAAAACCCAAAGAAGGATTAAAATAAAGAATCTTCATGTTGTCATTTGTAATTAGATGTCAAACTTTCATTAAACACTGAAACTGGAAATAACTGCCTCAATATGGAAATATAAAACATGTATCTATTTTGCTGTTTACATACGGAAGTTGGCAACTGATAGGGTTTTGAAGAGTATGACCATTATCTTTGCATTCAGAATACAGTGTTTGATTAGTCAGAAAACTCACATGCCATAAGCCAATGAGCAGCAATAAGAAGGACACCAATGAAATAAAAGAAATTTGAAAATGACATGATGTCAATAAGTTGGTTCATTGCCCAGAAGGAAAGGAATTCCGATGAATTGATCAACGTAAAAAGCATGTCTTCCTAGTGCCAAAACCAAGAATAGAGGAAATCAGAAGAAAAATTTTAAAAGCAAAAATTAAAATCAAAATTCTTTTTTAAGGAGTAAGTAGAGCAATGCAGATAACTGATAATGTTGATAGAGATTATAAACTAGACAGAACAAGCTTGAAATAAAGCCAGTTGTGCCAAACAAACAAACAATAGCATAGACAGTGATGGTCAAGATGGTGGAGGAAAAAACTCAAAATAGAGCAAAACATTGGTCTGAGAGATTAAGTTAAAAAGTCAGCTAAACCATATGATTTTCAATTTCTTTAAAAATGGATGTTTATGTTTATGAAAAATCACAAAGGAAAGATGAAAAGTAAACTCTACCTCCATAATAGCATATGAATTAATTTCTCATTCTCTGTCGTCGTTGAAGCAGCCATGTTAGGATTCTTTCAAGGATTTCTAGTCTCTCTGTCCCTAATTCTTGTATTGGTCTACAGGTTTCTAAACAAAAAGTGATCCTATTAAAAAAAAATTCTTAGACCTCATGCCTTCTTACCCCCTACCGCTGACTCTGCTCCAGGCACCGGATGTCCTTCTTGTCCCTCTAACCCCCTTCACTTGCTCTCATCTCAAGAATTTTGCATTTGCTGTTCCTTCTACTGCAATGCTGTTCTCCCAGATATCTGTATGGTTTGCTTCATCTTCAGTTCTGTGCTGAAGTGGCTCCTGAAATAAAATTGTATTTTAAAACATTTATTTAATAAATCTGTTATTTAAAATAGTCCCTTTTTCTTTGCTTTCTTTTCTTGGATGTTGTATGTGTAATACTTGTTTACTGTTGTCTGTTCTCACTAGAATGTAGTTTTGTGAAGGGAGGGATTTTGTTTTATTTATTTCTGTATCCACTGTGTTTGAACACAGTCAGACATAAAAGAAGATTGATAGAGTAATCTAGTGATGCTTGCTCAATGTGTTGTCCAAATACTTGTTTAAAATGCTTCAAACTATAATGTTTCATCTATCAGTTTCTGAGAGTGGGATGTTAATGTCTCTCTAATGATTAGTTATCAATTTCTCTTTGTTCTGCAAATGTTTGCTTTATATAATCTGAAGTTCTCATGTTATCCAAGTGAATTAATTTTTTATCGTTATGACAGTTTAAGCCATTTATGTTTACTGTGAAAATTCATATTTCTATTTACCTTTTTATGTTATTTTCTGTGTACCATTTGTTTTCACTCCTTTTCTGCCTGCTGTTGGATTGATCACATTTTCTCATCCCTTCTTTCTACTTCAATGTTTTCTATCAAATTTAAAAACAACTACTTAATAAATTCTTGTTTTTTTTTTTGAGACGGAGTCTCTCTCTGTCGCCCAGACTGGAGTGCAGTGACTTGATCTTGGTTCACTGCAAGCTCCGCCTCCCGGGTTCACGCCATTTTCCTGCCTCATCCTCTCCTGGGATTACAATTGCCCGCCCCCATGCCCGGCTAATTTTTTTGTATTTTTTTAGTAGAGATGGGGTTTCACTGTGTTAGCCAGGATGGTGTCGATCCTCTGACCTCGTGATCCGCCCGCTTCGGCTTCCCAAAGTGCTGGGATTACAGGCGTGAGCCACTGTGCCCAGCCTAAAAACAACTACTTAATAAATTCTAAAGATATTCTTTCTTTTTGTCCATGAACAATAAGATTCACCTTAGAGTGTTCTCTCCTTAATCACCCTTTTTCATCTTTCAGGTTTTGTAGTCTTTTTATTTAGTTCTGCCTTCTTTCCCCTCTCCCCCTGTGAAGTTTGAAATGATGCTATTTTGACTGTTTGACTTGTTATGGAACATTAACAAATTTCTAATATTGAATCATCCTGGCATTCTGATTATATTCAATAGGATTGTTCTCAGTTTTTTATTTTCATTAGTTTTGACAATGTTTGTTGGAATTCTGAGTCAGATATATCCTTTTTTTTCATTTTTGGGAAGACCGACCTTTTGATACTTTTTAGTAATTATAAAACGATTTAGACTTTGATTACTTCAATTTTTTATTTTTTGAGATGGAGTTTCACCTTTATTGTCCAGGCTGGAGTACAATGGTGCAATCTCAGCTTACTGCAACCTCTGCCTCCCAGGTTCAAGCAATTCTCCTGCCTCAGCCTCTCGAGTAGCTGGGATTACAGGCATGTGCCACTACGTCCAGCTATTTTTTTTTTTTGGTATTTTTTAGTAGTGACGGGGTTTCTCCATGTTGGTCAGGCTCGTCTCGAACTCCTGACCTCAGGTGATCTGCCTGCCTTGGCCTCCCAAAGTGCTGAGATTACAGGCATGAGCCACCACTCCCAGCTGGTCACTTTGATTTTTAATATCTTTTTGTGTTATAGCTCCTTCATGGTTTAGGTTGGTTAACTTTTTTTTTTTATTTGAGATGGAGTTTCACTCTTGTTGCCTAGGCTGGAGTGCAATGGTGTGATCTTGGCTCACTGCAACTTCTGCCCACCGGGTTCAAGCGATTCTCCTGCCTCAGCCTCCTGAGTAGCTGGGATTACAGATGTGCGCCAACACGTCCAGCTAATTTTTGTATTTTTAGTAGAGACGGGATTTTGCCATGTTGGCCAGGCTGGTCTTGAACTCCTGACCTCAGGTGATCCACCCACCTTGGCCTCCCAAAGTGCTAGGATTACAGGCCTGAGTCACCGCGCCTGGCCTACTTTTTTATGAGAACAAGACTTAAATGGATTTCTTGTTGTTTAAAACATAGTTCTTTGTTTTATTCTTTTTTCATATTATTATTGTATTTCATATTGTTTTTCCCTTTTTTGTTTGTTTGTTTGTTTGAGACAGAATCTCACTCTGTCGCTCAGGCTGGAGTGCAGTGGCATGATACCAGCTCATTGAAACCTCCATCTGTCAGGTTCAAGCGATTCTCATGTCTCAGCCTCCCAAGTACCTGGGATTACAGGCACACACCACAATGCCCGGCTAATTTTTGTATTTTTAGTAGAGATGGAGTTTCACCATGTTGGCCAGGCTGGTCCTGAGCTCCTGACCTCAGGTGATACATCTTCCTCACCCTCCCAGAGTGCTGGGATTACAGGTGCGAGCCACCACAGTTGGCTGTTTTTCACTTTTTAAATGCTTTATGTTTTTCGATTAAATACTGAGTTGATTTGTATTTTTTCTTTCTATTCCCTCCTTTCCTCCCTCTCTTCCTTGTTTTTTTTCTTTAGCTGGGATTACTGGCATGCCACCATGCTTGCCTACGTTTTGAATTGTTTTGGTAGAGATGGGGTTTCACCATGATGGCCAGGCTGGTCTTGAACTCTTACAATCAAATGATCCACCTATCTCAACTCTCCAAAGTGCTGGGATTACAGGTGTGAGCCACCCTACCCAGCCTTTTTCTTTTAAAGAATTTAAAATACTGTGAAATAATTTAAAACACTGAAACTATCTGAGTACTGCTTTGTCAGTTTCTAAGTTTTTATATGTAATATCTTGTTGCTCTTATGTGTTACTAATTTTTCTTTTACTCATTTCTGTACCTTATTTAGGATAATTAAAAAAATTTAAAGACATTAGTTTGGCTTTTTTTGGTCAGGAATTTCACCTTACTGTGACTCTTTATTTTACTTTCCTGAAGTGTTTATAAATTAAATTTTATTATAAATTTATAATATATAATTCATATATATTATAAATATATACTAATTTATATATTATATAATACATAATTATATGTTGTAAGGTGGACATGATTATAATTATGCTTAATTTAAAAAATTTTGTTGTTTAGTCATCTGCATCACAGTCACCAAAAGCACCCTTTACAAAGCTTTTAAAAATACATGTATCTGGTCATTTCGCATCAACTTTATTAAATGTAGAAGTCAAACCTGGTATGTGAACTTTGTAAAGAACCCATTATGTAGTTAAAAGCCACTACTGTAGACAGAGGGAGACATCAGAATATTACCTAAAAGAGGGGCAAAACCAGAGTGAGGAGTACTTAAGTGAATTATGAGGACACAATTATATTCATGTGGGTCTGTCCTCACATTTAGAGTATAAAGAAGTGCTGGATTTAAGGGAGAAAATGATTGTAAACGCTGACATTTTCTACTTGATATGGTAAAATGCTGGAAAAATGCCCAAATTATTTATTTTGTATACCTTCAAATTGTGCTTTATGTTGAATATAAGTCTAAGCCTTAAAATTTAATATGTAACTCTGTGTGCTTATTTTTTCTTTCCTGTAGACCTCGAAGTAGGGGAAAAACTGCTGTGGAAGATGAGGACAGCATGGATGGGCTGGAGACAACAGAAACAGAAACAATTGTGGAAACAGGTATCAAAACTCGAGAGTTTATAAGAATGTATATGATACTTTGCATATGTCTATGCACTGCATGTAGCATCTATGTAACAATATTCTGTATTAAGCATTTGTTTTTATACTGAACTCTAAGTTTCTCATCTGCCTAAGTAGTTTTGATAACTAATGACAAAGTAAAAACACTGAGCTCTGTGTCTCTCTTTTTTCCCCTAAGCCCTGGTTTAGTATAATTATTTCATATCTGAAGATAAATGTTTTATCAAGGAAATAGAGACTGGGAGAAACAGTAATCCAGGCTGTTAGTATGATTGCTCATAGTATATTCTGGCCTGTGAACCATCTAGTGTTTGTTTAAAGCTTACTTTGTTAATACGTGTTTTGAAAAAAGTAATATGTTTCATTGTGGAATTAATGTTGTGAGAGGCTAGGCCAAACTAGACCAAATAGTTTCTGGTCTGTTGGACTTTTAGGTGCCCTTAAATAAGCTGTTGTATGTTGTACATCTGCTAAAAGGTGGCTAGAGTTGGTTGCCCAAAGTAGTTTCCAAAATTTACAGGTCAGTGGTAAGTTATCAAAGGGACTAGGATTCATATTGTATTTAGAGGATACCTGTAGGAGATAGTCTC